GGCCTCAGAGGACTGAATCGCAGGCAGCTGTGATGGTTTCCAGACCTCTCAACCCATGAATGTCAAAGAAAACTTGGAAGGTCAGTGGGAAAAGTCCATTTCTGTGGTGAGAGAGAAGTACAGGGTCCCAGCCCCATTCCCCAAGCTCGGCCCCAGGGTGGCAGTTGCCTCCTGAACTTCTGGCCCACAGACAGAGGGGGATTGCAGGGATCTCTCTGCTGGTGCAGGATTCTCTTGCTTTGCCCATGCTTGGATCTGGGGCACAGTTATGGGTGGCTGTCCTGGGAGGAGAAGGAGTGCTGGCATGGTGGAGCTTGTAGTGGCTGTGGAGAGGAAATCGTCCTTACAATTCCAAGACAGAAAATAGTGCTTGTGGTCACTCATAGAGCAGAGCACAGGACAGGAAAGGAGTAAACACCTCACCCTTTTTCATAGCACCTTGGAAGAACTTAAAATTTACAGGTCCCTAGAGTATCTCTGAAAACAGTTGCACAAAACCCCTGAAGCTTGGGACAGTACATTGTCCACACTGGAAACAGACCAGTACCTTAACAAAGAGTTTATAACTCAAGTAATTGACTGGGATCATGAGCAAGCAGTGCAAAAAGAGTCAGACTATATTATCTTATTTTGGTGACAAAGAAGATCAAAACATAGAACTAGAAGAAGACAATGAATCCAAAGTTCCTACATCCAAAGTCTCCAAGAAAAATATGAATTGGTCCCAGGCCATGGATGACGTCAAAAAGGAGTTGGAGAAGCAAGTAAGAGAAGTAGAGGAAAAACTGAGAGGGATGCCAAATGAGACCACAAAAAATACTCAAGAAAATAACACCTTAAAAATAGCCTAACTCAAATGGTAAAAGAGGTCCAAAAAGCCAACGAGGAGAAGAATGCCCTAAAAACCAAAATTGGCCAAATGGAAAAGGAAGTCCAAAAGATTACTGAAGAAAATACTTCCTTAAAAATTAGAATGGAGCAATTGGAAGCTAGTGACTATATGAGAAATCAAACCACTGTAAAAACCAATCCAAAGGAATGAAGAAATAGAAGAGAATGTGAAATATCTCACTGGAAAAACAACTGACCTGGAAAATAGATCCAGGAGAGAGAACTTAAAAATCATTGGACTATCTGAAAGCCATAATCAAAAAAAGAGCCTAGACATCATCTTTCAAGAAATTATCAAGGAAAACTGCCCTGATATTTTAGAACCAGAGGGCAAAATAGAAATAGAAAGAATCCACACCTCCTGAAAGAGGTCCCCAAATGAGAACTCCAAGGAATATTGTAGGTGAATTCCAGAATTCCCAGATCAAGGAGAAAATATTGCAGGCAGTCAGAAAGAAACAATTCAAGTATTGTGAAAACACAATCAGAATAATACAAGATTTAGCAGCTTCTACATTAAGGGACCAGAGGGCATGGAGTATGATATTCCGGAGGGCAAAGGAGACAGGATTACAGCCAAGAATCACCTACCCAGCAAAACTGAGTATAATCCTTTAGGGTAAAAAATGGTAATTCAATGAAATAGGGGAGTTTCAAGCATTCCTGAGGAAAAGACCAGAGTTGAATATAAAATTTGAATTTCAAATACAAAACTCAAGTGAAACATGGAAGAGGCAAACAAGATAGAGAAATCATAAGAGACTTATTAAGGTTGAACTGTTTACATTCCTGCATGGAAAGATGATATTTGTAACTCATGAGTCCTTTGTCAATATTAGGGTAGTGGGAGGGAAACATACATTTAGTATGTATAAACATACTAAACATACTTAAACATACATTTAGTATGTATAGATAGATAGAAGGCACAGGATGAGTTGATGATGAAGGAGTGATATCTGGAAAATAAAATTAGGGGGTGAGAGAGAATTATACTGGGAGAAGGAGAAAAGGAGAAGTAGAATGGGATAAATTATCTCACATGAAACAGAAAAGAGAAGGCTTTTACAGTGGAGGGGAAATGGGGGAAGGTGAGAAGGAATGAGTGAATCTTATTCTCATAGGATTTGGCTTAAGGAGGGAATAACATACACAATGAGGTGTGGAAATCTATCTTACCCTACATAAAAATAAGGGGGGAGGGGGACAAGACAGCAGGGGTTTGATAGAGGGGAGGGCATATTGTGAGAGGGGATAATCAGAAGTAAACACTTTCGAGGAGGGACAGGGTCAAAAGAGAGAATAGAATAATGAGTAGGATAGGATGAAGGGAAATATACTTAGTTTTTCACAACATGACTACTATGGAAGTGTTTTACATGACTACACATCTATAACCTGTATCGAGATGCTTGCCTTTTCAATGAGGGTTGGTTGGGAGGGAGGAAAGAAGAAAATTTGTAACCCAAAGTTTTAAAAACACGTGTTAAAAATTTAAAAATATTTAAAAAAGATATTATCTGTAAAAAAAAGTGCCAGTATCTATAGAATTTTTTTTAATAATACACAACTGAGAACTCTTCTAAGTTTTTTTTTTTTTGACATGGGGATGGTGTAATATTGGCTTTGTACCAAGATCTGCAACTTACTCTGTAAAATGCCCTACCTTTTAGAAATGACACATCATTGCACTTTAATGGCATAGATGATTCTGGAATTAATCACAGTTGCTTTAGTTTTTGTTTCACTTCATTGGTTTCATAGTTTGGTTATGTTGAAGGATAGAAATTCAGCTATTTTAAATAGCTTACGCTTTCCTTGAATTTTTTGAAAATAGCTATACATTGATTAGAAGACTATTAAGTCTGAATCATAAATAAAACAAAACTTGGCTGTGTTGGAAACAATAATGTTTTCAAAGTATGATTTCCCAAGAAAAAGCCAAGTTCTACTGGTACTTTTAAGCAAAAACAAACAAAAAATGAATTCAATTCGATTCAATCCAAGGGATTAAATAAATATTTTTAAATGAATTTTATTTTAGATGCAGAACCCATAAGATCAATACAGAAAAAAAAAGGAAAAAAACATAAACTTAAATATTGGAAATTAATTACAAATTAGGAAAAGAAAATAAAGTATGTTATGTGCATAGCAGAACATAGGAGAGGATTCAAAATATGTAATGATAAATTTTCATTTCAAGAAAGCCAATATGATAAATAGTACACATTGTGTCAAGAGCTGTGTCAAAGATCTTTTCTTTGCTTCTTTGTTAAGTTTTCTTTTGTCCTCTGCTGTGCACATTTTTACTTTATTCTTCCCACCCTCAAGGCTACAATTGAGTGTGGATATATTTCTCTATAGTTATAGATATATACATAAACATATACATGCATACTTATACATATATACTTACATATATATACATATACTTTCCCAAACAAATTCTACTCCTGATATTTGTTTTTATGTTTGTGCATATTTCTTGTTTCCTATCCCTCCTGACTCCTCTACTTTACTTCTACCTGCTACCTTGCCCTTCTATTACTTAGCCTACCCCCCTCCAAGGATCCCTCCTTCATCCTCTCATTCCCATAAATTTAAACACCCTTTTATAGCCCCCTATAACCTATTCCTTCACCCTCCCATCTAGAGATCCCTCCCTTGTCCTCTCCTTCCTCTCTGTCCCCTCATTGTTTTATTTCTTCTAAATTTAGAAGACTTTTATATTCTTCTAAATATATATGTATTGTTCCCTCTTAAACCCATTCCTGATGAAAGTAGGTTACCAGAACTATGAGCCCTTCTCCTTCACCTAATTCCTCTATTTAGATTCTTCCTCTCACACCTCGTTTGTATAAAATAATTACTCTTTTTAGCCGTTCCTAAATGGTTTTACTTTTTGAAGTCATATCATACTCAAGTCTACCCCAATCTTTCTTATCTGCTACCCAATTATTAATAAGAATCTTAGACATGCATTTTGCATTTTACATAGATAAAAAGTAAATGGTCTGTCCTTATTGAATCTCTTGTAATCAGTCTTTGGTATGTACTTTATGTTTCTCTTGGGTGTTGTATATCAAATATTGTATTAAGTTCAGTTTTTTTTTAAATAAAATCTTGAGAGTCTGACAATTGATCAGATGTCCATTTTTTTTTCATTTGGGATTATGCTTAACTTTGCTGGATATGATACATTCAGCCTGAGCCCCAGTTCTTTTGCTCTTTGATATATATAGTGTTCCAAGACTTGTGGTCCTTTAATGTCTCCACTGATAGGTCTCGTATGATTCTAACTTTGGCACCATTATATTTAAATTTTTCTTGTTGCTTTTAATATTTTTATCCTTGAGCTGGGGCTTTGGGGATTTGACTATAATATTCCTATGCTTTTTCCTCGTAGGATTTCTTTTAAGTGGTGATTGATAGATTTTTTCTCTTTCTACTTTCCCCTTTGTTCTAATGCTTCAGGAAATTTTCTTTAATTGTTTCTTATATTATTGTATCAAAACACTTTTTTTATCATAGCTTTCAGTTAATCTAATTATTTTTATATTTTCTCCTTGATCTATTTTCTAGATTTGTTGTTTTTCTTGTAAGATGTTTTACTTTTTCTTCTATTTTTTCCTTATTCATATTTTGCTTAGTTATTTCTTGATCTATTATAATTTTGCTTGCTTCACCATGCCCAATTCTAATTTTCAAGGTGCCATTTTCTTCCTTAAGATTCTGGATCTCATTTTCTAACTGGTTGACTTTTTTTTTTATAGTCTTCTTGTTTTTCTTGGGTTATTCTTATTTATTTTTTTCCATCTCTCTCATTTGATTTTTAAAGTCTTTAAAGTTCTATAAATTATTTTTGGGCAGGTGACCATTTGACATTACTCTTTGGCATAGAAGTGGGTTTCATTGCTTTTATATCCCCCTCTGAAGATGAATCCTGGTCTTCTCTATTCCCATAATAGCTTTCTATGGTTGGATTCTTTCTCCCTCACCTTTGCATTTATTTTTTTGTAATAATAGCTTAATTTTTATAATCCCCTTTAGCCCTGGGGTATGAGGGATAGTGACTCTTGCCCCAGATCTTCGGTTCTCTTCTCTAGCCTGGAAACAAATCCAAATCTCCAGAGTCCTGTAAGTGCCCACAGCCAGGGGTCTTCTGCCCCACTGCTTCTGCACTCACTGGGCATGTGCTGATTCCTTCTCACCCCAGTGCTCTCCAAAGCACAGCTGGATTTGGAGTTCCTGGTCGTCCAAGATTCCTTTGATGTTTCCAGGCTCAGATGCCCAACTCTCCTCACTATCCTGGGGGTAAAAGTTCCAGTGGCTAGGGCAGAGGCAACCTTCCAAACCAGCAAAGCCCAGGGCTGGCTGCTTGTTGTTAACAAGGCCCCTAGCCTAGAGATGTTTACTCTTCACAGGGACCAAGCCTCTTCCTGAGATTCTTCTTCTAATTTTCTTGAATTGTCCCAGGAAGACCACTGTTGTGCCCTTATTATTTATTTTTACCCTAACTTTGTTTGCCCTGAGGTGTTATTTTGTCTCTTTTATGGAGGAAAATCCTGAGAGCTTCTAATTTTCTGACCTCCCATGTTGCCAGAATCCTCCTAAATAAATATTTCTTGAATTGAACTTAGTTTACTTCCTATTTGTTGCTTTATTTAAAAGAATTAATCAAGTTTTCTTGAGTTATGCATGAGAAGTAGTGACTTTCTCTCTGTCTTCAGTCATCTTTTGCCTCCTTGTCAACTTCCTCAGCTCTTCTAGCTTTCATTTTTAAAAAAATTTTATGAGATCTGATTGACTGACCTTCCTCTACATTTTCCTACTCTTTGTTTTACTGTGATAAGGTAGTCAAAAATCATGGAATTTTGTGGTCAGGTAGTAATCAGAGATCTGTATATGGAAATTAAAACCCCAAGGCTGTTGACTTAGAAAGTTATCAAAAAAGGATCCTGTGGCATCTAAGGGACTAAAGTCATTTTAAAAGTTTTGTGGTCATATGTTAGTTGTTAGACAATAGTAAAATAGATGAGTAAAGAAGCTATTGAGGGCTGCATATTTCTAAATGAAATACATTAAGAATGATTCTGTTCCCATTTATGACATGATTATTAAGTAGGAGATCTGTGTATGTTACCCCCAGATGTGACAAGCTATGTGAGGGACAGCCAAGATCGAGATTTTTTCAGAATTTGAAAACTGTCTGGGACTACCAACTAAGGTCCCAACTTAGAAGAAAAGTATTGGGAATAATAAAGGCATAGGAATAGAAGGGCACTATTTTGATACGACTAAAATAGACATAAAACTAAAATTTAGTTTTATATACAATGGGGAAAACATTAGAATCTACCCCAGTAACTTCTGGAGTGAACCAAAATACAATCTTCCCTCATTTTTTTTTACATTGTTCTAGAAATGCTAATAGTAGCAATAAAGCAAGAGAAATTAAAATCAATATATAGGTAAAGAAAAGAACTACTGATAGGATAATTGACATAGAAAACTCCAGAAAATCATCAAATAAAGTAACAAAGTAAAAACTACAGAAATTACAAACAATTCAGTACAGCAATAATAAAACCTAGGAAGAAAAAAATTAGAAAGTGATATCCCATTGAAAATAATTACGAATGTTTACAACATCTCAAAATTACTTTATTAAGGCACTCTTAAGATCTTTATGGATACAATTACATAACCTGATTTAAAGAAATTAAGAAAGACAGATAACTAGAGGGATATTCAGTTTTTGTGGTTTTTACCAATATGATAGAAATTATAATACTACCTAAAGGTGTTTAAAATTTAGTACTCTAGTAAACTGGGCATCTAGTTACCCAGGGATTACTTTATAGAGATAGACAAAATAAAAATGGTTTAGAATCTCAAGGAATATTATGAAAAAGCTGGAATGGGGAGGGGAGTAGCACTTGTAAATCTCAAATTACACCATAAAAAGTAGTCATAAAAACTGCTTAGTACTGGATTAAAACAAATTCAGTGCCAAAGAGTAGATAAGGTTGCTCATGAACAAATGAACACGCCGCTTCTGGGAACCAAGATGGCAGAGTAAAACGGTAGTTGCTCTCACCCTCCCCTATCAACCTCTGACAACCCAGAAAATATCACCTCAGAAAAAACCCTGCAACAAGTGAACCAGAAGAAAGATGGGGTGCAGCAGTACAAAAGCCCAGGTTGCTAGAGGGATTAACGGGAAAGGCTCCTCTTACCCTGGGAGAAGGGCAGCAGTACAAAACCAGGAATCACCCACCCAGCTAGTGGAAAGACCCACTTTAGCACACCAGGAGGAGATTCTGGGGCCTTGGCATTCTACAGTAAATGGGTCTCCGAGTGCCCTAGCAAAAATAAAGGAAGCAGCTTTACAAAGGGCCCCAGGCAGATAAGCACCCTGCAGCATTTGTCTGAAAGGAGCTTAAGAAAGCAACCTAGAGTTGCCCAAAAGTTCCAGCCTTGTTGATTCCAGCCCAACACCAGGTAAGCTGTCAGAACCTTATAGCCTCCAACTGCCAACCAGGAGGAGATCCAGAAACCCAGCTGGTCAAGCAAGCAAATACCAACAGCTGGACATCTGAGTGCCTCAGCGAGGGCAGGGAAACCAGTGAAAACCAGCTCAGAAAACCACCAGGTGCCTCGGCATTCTACAGCAAAGGAATCTCCCAGTGCCTCAACAGAACTCAGGGAGGCAAAGCTGTAAGGGGCCCCTGGCAGATAAAGACCTGCAGCACCCATCTGAAAGGAGCTGAACAAAGCTAAAGGAAAGGAAAAGCAGTCAACCTAGATTTGCCTGAAAATCCCATCCTTGCTGATTCCAGCCCAATACCAGATAAGCTGCCAGAACCCTACAGCCTCCAATTGCCAACATAAGAGGCCCCAGCACACAGAGCCAGTGACCAAGACCTAGGCTCCCAACACAAGAAGCTTGGGTCAGTGCCCTCTGCTCCCCAGCAGGAGAGCATAATCTCTTTAAAGGCCAAGGAATAAAGAAAACCATGAGTAAAAAGAAATGTACGATAGATTCATATTATGAGAAGAGTGAAGATCAAGACAGAAATTCTGAAGAGGATAACACTGTCATCAAACCCACATCTGCAACATCAAAAGGGAATATGAACTGGTCTGAAGCTCAAAAAGCCTTCTGAGAAGAACTCAAGAATGATTTTAAAAGTCAAATAAGAGAGGTAGAGGAGTCCTTTAAAAGTACAATTGGCCAATTGGAAAAAAGTACACTGAAGAAAACAAGTCCCTAAAACACACAATTGGCCAATTGGAAAAAAAGTACACTGAAGAAAACAAATCCCTTAAAAATACAATTCACCAATTGGAGAAGAAAACACAAAATCTAATAGAAAAAAACAATACGTTAAAAATTAGAATTGAACAAATGGAAACTAATGACTCTATGAGAGAGCAAGAATCAGTCAAACAGAAACAAAAAAATGAAAAAATAGATGAAAATGTAAAATACCTCATGGGTAAAACAACTGACCTGGAAAATTGATCCAGGAGAGACAATTTAAAAATTATTGGCCTACCTGAAAATCATGATGACAAAAAAGAGCCTGGACAATATCCTTCAGGAAATCACAAAGGAAAACTACCCTGAAGTCCTAGAACCTGAAGGCAAAACAACTATAGAAAGAATCCATTGCTCCCTGCCTGAAAGAGATCCCAAATTGAAAATACCAAGGAATATAATAGCTAAATTCCAAAATTATGAGATTAAAGAGAAAATACTGCAAGCATCCAGAAAGAAATAATTTAAATATCATAGAACCACAGTCACTATTACACAGGACCTTGCAGCCTCTACATTAAAAGACCATAGGGTGTGGAACATGATATTACCTAAGGCAAAGAATCTTGGAATGCAGCCAAGGATTAACTGTCCAGTGAAAAAGAGTGTGATTTTTCAGGGAAGGAGATGGATATTCAACAAAACAGGGGACTTCCAAATATTAATGATAATAAGACCAGAGCTCAACAAAAAATTTGATCTTCAAGTATAGGATTCAAGAGAGACATAAAAAGGTAAATGGGACAGAAAGATACAATGTGTTGTTAATAAGGGCAAAATGTTTATATCCCTACAATGGAAGATAACACTTGCAACTCTTGAGAACTGTATTGTTATTATACCATGTTAAAGGTGTATACATAAAGGGGGTGGATATAAGTTGACTTGGATGTAATAAAAAAAAAATCTAATCAAGTGGGTTAAATGGATTCAAGTAAGTGGATTAGTTTGATCTAAGAAAATGTACTGAGAAAGGAGGAGTCAGACAAGGGTAAATTACATTAGAGGAAATGACACAAAAACCTATTAGAGCAGAGGTAAAGAAGGGAGGGGGATGAGCATTGTTTGAACCTTACTCTCATCAGATTTGGCTCAAGATGGGAATAACATAATCAGTTAGGTATAGAAATCTAACTTGCACTATAGGCAGTAGGAGGGAAAAGGGGAAAGAAAAGGGAGGGGGGATAGAAAGAAGGAAAGAAGCAGTAAGGGTAAAGGGGAAGAAAAGGTAAAGGAATAATAAAAGGGAGGTGGGACTGAAAGGGGCAGTGGTCAAAAGGAAAACACTAGTGAGGGGGGGAAGGAGAAAGGGGAAAGAAAAGCATAAATGGGGGAAAAAGGATGGAGAAAAAGACACAGAGAGTAATCATAATTGTGAATATGATTGGGATGAACTCTCCCATAAAATGGAGGCATATAGCAGAATGGATTAAAAACCATAATCCTACAATATGTTGTTTACAAGAAACACATTTGAAAAACAGTGACACATACAGGGTAAAGGTAAAAGACTGGAGCAAAATATATTATGCTTCAGCTGAAGTAAAAAAAGCAGGAGTAGCAGTCCTGATCTCAGACAAAGCAAAAGCAAAAAAATAGATCTTATCAAAAGAGATAAGGAAGGAAACTACATCCTGCTAAAAGGCACCATAGATAATGAAGTAATATCATAACTAAACATATATGCACCAAATGGTATAGCATCCAAATTCTTAGAGAAGTTCAGGGAGTTACAGGAAGAAATAGACAGTAAAACTATACAAGTGGGGAACCTCAACCTCCCCCTCTCTGAACTAGATAAATCTAACCACAAAATAAACAAGAAAGAAGTTAAGGAGGTGAATAGAACATTAGAAAATTTAGGTATGATAGACCTATGGAGAAAACTGAATGGAGATAGAAAGGAATATACTTTTTTCTCAGTGGGACATGGCACATACACAAAAATTGACCATGTACGAGGGTATAAAAACCTCACAATCCAATACAGAAAGGCAGAAATATTAAATGTATCCTTTTCAGATCATGACGTAATAAAAATTATATGTAATAAAGGACAATGGAAAGATAGACTAAAAATAATTGGAAACTAAATAATCTAATCCTCAAAAATGATTGG